AACTCCCCGTCACACGCAGGCAGGGGCTCCTGTCCCTGCTCAGGGACGTCACAGGGCCACCTAGGGAGGCTTATAGGTTTGAAAGGGGACAGCACAGGGATTGCATCTGCAACACCTGCCCTCCCACTGCCTCCAGCAGGACACAGGAAGTGGGGGCTGGGCTGCCCCTCCAGGAGGATGAGGAGGAAGCCCCCTGGACCCCCCTGTGGTTTCCTGGCTGCTTCTCCAAGGACACAGTGCAGGTGCAGGGCGGGGAGGCAGGAAGTCTGGGCAGCAGGGACGTGGGGAGGGGGCTCTTTGCTTCTTGGGTTTCAGGCACCTTTGGTGGTGTTCATTGTGCCAGAGCTGGCAGCCAGGAAAGGAAAATGGCCTTGGACTTTTCTTTATAGGAAAGTCACAGATCTCCACCTCACAAATCTAACCCAGAGGTGCTCTGCACTGAGCTATACCCCACCCTTTTTAGTTTTTATTTTGAGACAAGGGTTCACTAAGTGGCCCAGGAAGCCTTGAACTTGCGATCCTTCTGCTTTGGCCTCCCAAGCACCTGGGAGTACAGGCATAGGTTTGTCTCCAGGGATCTGCACCCCTTTATTTCCCCCAAGAATAGCACCCCATTTCCTTCTGCTACGATTGCTAGGTGGGTGAGATGCAGCCTGGAGCTTCCTGGGCACGGGGGCCCCATGGACACCCAGCTTCCATGGAGGAAGGTGCACCAGAAGATGGAGCCAACCGGAAGGAAAGAGGGACCGGGGAGGGACAGCCGATCCCCACAAGGTCCTCGGGTGCCTGTGTCCAGCTGTGCTGCTCCCTGGCCCTGGGCAGCACGAGGCAGAGCATTGCCTGGCCACCAAGTGTCCTGCCCCGGAACAGCACAGCGCCAGGCACCCAGGGTAGGTGTCCAGCAGTTTCGTTCGTTTCTGAGTTTCCTTTGTTTCTGGAAGTGCTGCTTAAAGGCCTCTAGTCAGAGGCTCAAGCTTTGAACCCCTCCCACAACTGCCAGGACTCACTGAAGACCCCCTTCTAAGGAAAAAGACAAACCCCAACCCCACACATCTGACAGCTCCTAGCACCTCGTATCCAGAGACTAAGAGCAGCCCCTCTGCCGGAGGCCTTGGCCTTCACTCCCCTGGGGACTTTTAGTAACCACTCCACATGCTGAATGTCCCTGTGTGTGATGGGTTTACTGCAGCAGGCGAGGCCCCAGGGGTCTGCTGCACACACGTGCTCCCAGACACCCCCTGGTCCCTTCCTGGGCCACGGGGCCCCTCCTGCCTCCTCCATCCGGGGTGTCCTGCTGCACACCCCAGACCAGGTGTGTTGAGCTTGCCCTTTCCCTGTGTCACTCCCAAGCAGCAGTGG